TGAAAAGTTGTGTCCATTTCTTAGCCGGCATACAGAAAAGTATTTTCTTTCATAGTCATCCTCCTTCAAGAAAGCCTAAATTATCGGGGCTAGCATTCTCTAATTTGTGTTGTCCTTTTATAGTGAAGTCAAAAGGTGGTGCACTTTACTTTGTGACCTTCATTGATGATCATTCTTGCAAGCTCTAGGTATATCCTTTGAAATTCAAAGATCAAGTACTTAGCATGTTTGAATTTCAGGCCTTAGTTGACAAACAGACCGGACAAAAACAAAAATATATTCGCACTAATAATGGTGGTAAATATTGTGGGTTTTTTATAACTACAGTAGAGCACAAGGAATTCGTCATTAGAAAGCTACGCCTACGACGCCTCAATTGAATGGTTTGGCATAGATGATGAATAGAACTCTAGTTGAGAGATATGCTTTTTTTTCATAGCTACACTTTCAAATTCCTCTGGGCGAAAATAGTTAACACAGTTGCTTTGGATGGTGATGTCCCACACTGAGTTTGATTTGCCAAAGATATTTCTTATGAGAGTTTTAGTGTGCAACTCTTGTGTGCTATTACAATCGAAGCTAGATGTCAAAAACTAAGTAGTGCATATTCATCAATTATGATCAAAGATAATTTTAGGTATCGTTTCTACGATCAGTTGATAAGAAACTTATTTGAAGTCGCGATGCAGTGTTCTTTGAAGAGCGACTATAGAAGATATTGACAAAACTGAGAAGATAAATTTTGAGTAATGATGCTTAGTTGATGTTGATCCAGTTCCTATTATTAAGGCACCTATATTCATGAAAGAACCCAAAATAATAATAAAGATGATGATCAAGATCAAAATGATCATCAATGTGTAAATCCTATAGATGCTCTATGTGACGACCCGACCCGTCGTCTCATGTGTTACCGCTCCGTTTTTCCCGTTTATTGCTTCTTCATATTTCGTTATCGGTATGTGGTGTGTGAGAGTTGATTTGGATTGGTTTTGATAAGAAATGAGACACTTTGTCTCTTTAAGGAAGGCTTGTTTTGGAAAAGTCAATCGGACGTTGACTTACGAGTTAGAAGGTTCGGATGTGATTTCCGGTGATTCGATTAGCTTCGGGAAGTGATTTGTGACTTAGGAGTGTGATCGGAATTGATTTTGGAGGTCCGGGTGTAGAATTAGGCTTGAATTGGCGGAGTTAGTATTTTGGCGAATTCCGGTTGATATGCGAGATTTTGATCCGAGAGTCGGAATGGAATTCCGAGAGTTGCAGTAGCTTCGTTAGATGATTTTGGATATGTCTGCAAATTTTCAGGTCATTCGGACGCCATTGGTTGGGTTTTTGATCGAAAGCGCATTCCGGAAGTTTTTGAAGAACTTAGGCTTGAATTCGATGTGGATTGATGATTTTAGTGTTGTTTTGTGTGTTGTGATGATTGGAACAAGTTCGCATGATGTTTTGGGTTATGTTGGTGCCTTTGGTCGAGGTCCCGGGGGCCTCGGGATGATTTCGGATGGCTAACGGGGAGTTTTTGGAATTTCATACAGCTGAAGGCATGCTGTTTCTGGTATTCTCGCTTCTGCGGGTCTTGGACCGCAGAAGCGGAGCCGCTTAAGCGGAGCTGTGATCGCAGAAGCGGCGAGGAGATGGAAGGCAGGATCCGCATAAGCGAAAGAGCGGACCGCAGAAGCGGTACCGCTGGTGCGAAAGTAGAACCGCAGAAGGGGTTTTTGGAAGTTTAATGAAGACCGCAAAAGCGGAAATTTGGCCGCAGAAGCGGTCCCGCATAAGCGAAAGCGGGACCGCAGAAGCGAAAACTGGACTGTTCAGAAGGGTTTTTATTTAATATTTCATCCGCGAGCTTGGGATAATTTCCACCATTGTTGGGCGACCTTGGGAGCTTTTGGCGAGAATTTAAGGGAGTTTTGACTGGGAATCGATTAGAGGTAAGTCCCCTGACTTAAATACATGAGGTTATGATAGATGTAACATGGAAATTGGTTGAAATTCATTAAAAAGGGGTAAAACTAGGGCTTGAGTTTTTGATATTCCAAATTGGGATTTGATAGGTCATTTGAGCTGGGATTTGGGAGCTCTTGGTATGTATGGACTCGTGGCGAGACGAGGAATTCGGTAATATGAGTTTTGTAATTTTTCGAGAAGCGGGCCCGGGGCTCGGATTTTGCTAGTTTCGAGATTTCTGTTATTTCTTGGTTGTTTTCGATTGGGTATTTTTCCCTGGGCATATTGTAATGTATTCACTCTGATTTTGGTTAGATTTGACGCGCGTGGAGGCCGATTCGAGGGGCAAAGGCGTCGCGGGCTAGAGATTTTACCGGTTCGAGGTGAGTAACGATTGTAAATGATACCCTGAGGGTTTGAAACCCCGGATTTGCACCCATAGTGCTATATTGAGATGACTTGCACGCCAGACAGAGAGCGTGGGGTAGAGCACCGTTGGGGATTGTGACTTGGTCCGTCCCGGTTGTTGATTTTACCGCGTATTTCGCTATGACTTGTTGTTTTTCACTAGGACTTGGGCTTATTGCCATATTTAGGCTTATTGCCGACTGTTTGAACTCCCTATGAGCTATCATCACTGTTTTCCTCACTATTTGAAATATTATTTGAACTCAGTCCATTGTCATTACATTGTTTCATGAACTCAGCTATATTTTCACTCAACCTCGAGTTTTAACTGATATTTGAACTACTGTTTGAGCTGAGCATTATTGTTTTTTTACTGATGCCCGAGGGGCTTATGATTATTTTTGGACTGATTGAGGCCGAGGGCCATATGTGAGGATATGCTGAGTGATATGTGAGGAGGCTTTCAGGCCTCAAGTGTATTGTGAGGAGGCTTTCAGGATATGCTGAGTGATGTGAGGAGGCTTTCAGGCCTCAAGTGTATTGTGAGGAGGCTTTCAGGCCTCATGTTGATATGTACAGGCTTTCAGGCCTTATGTTGATATAGCGCTTGGGCTGTAGGAGCCCCTCCGGAGTCTGCACACCCACAGTGAGCGCGGGTACCCATCTAGAGCGGCTAAATTTTAGACATTGGTAACAATGACACTGTCATACGCGTTTTGGTCAGGTAACAATGACTGACCAGTCAGGTAACAATGGCTGACCGGTGGTAACAATGGCACTGAAACACGCGTTGGGTCAGGTAACAATGGCTGACCGGTCAGGTAACAATGACTCACTAGTAACGAAATTCGTGCCCGAGGGGCGAACTCTTATGTGTTCATCTTGCATACTTATTTGTATTATTACCTGCTATGCTGTGATATTTGTGCCCGAGGGGTGGATTTTCTGTGTTAATCAGCACTAACTATTTTGAACAGTTTCGTAATTATTGAAAGGACTATTTTCAAAAGAGATTTGAAATGAGCCGAAACATTTCTAAAGAATTCTCTGATTTCACTGTTTTCTCGGAAATTGTACCCAGCTTCTGTACAGCCCGTTGGTTGCTTTACGTGATTTCTTGCTGCTCAGTTATTATTTACTTCTATTACTCACTGAGTTGGAGTACTCACTTTACTCCCTGCACCTCGCGTGCAGTTGCAGGTATCGTTCACCCGGTAGCGGGTTATTAGCGGATTGAAGGTATTGTTATTGTAGCTGAGCAAGGTGACCGCCAGCGTTCGCGGCACCGGATGTTGTCTTTTGTTTTTCAAAAATTTTACTTGTATATATTTATTGGCCTGTAGTTGTGTTAAGGTTTCCTTAGATGCATGTGACTTGTGACACCCCGGTCGGGTAGTAATTAACAGTTTCTAATGCCATTAAGTTGTATCTTCTATTCATTTATGTTTAATAATTGTTAGTGAAACGATTTGGGTTAGTTGGCTGGCCTTGTCTTCACGAGAGGCGCCATCACGATCGGGTATGGGAATTGGGTCGTGACACTCTAGTTGATGATGTTGTGGCTGAACAACAATTAATTCTTGCTCAGGTAACTACTTCGAATGATCTTAAAACTTTTGTTAGAAAATCTACAAGGGAGAATTAAAAATCCACACATTATTCTCCTCATGAGTATGTATTTTAACTTATATGGGAGAACCACAAAGTTATGATATATTAAGCCATGTAAGATACTCACAAAAAGCAGCATGTATAAGCCATAAAAGATCAGATAAAGTCACTCTATAAGAATGACAAATATGAGTTAGTGAAATTGCTGAAAGAGAAGAGAGCTTTATCCAACAAATGGATTTTCAAAGTAAGGCAAGATCAACATACTTCTACGCTTAGGTACAAGGCGATGTTAGTTGTTAAAGATTTTGGACAAAAGAAAAAAGTAGATTTTGATGAAATTTTCTCTCTTGTTGTGAAGATACCTTCTATTCATGTGGTTCTGGACTTAACCGTAAGTCGAGATTTAGATGTTGCAAAGAAGACTGTCAAGATTTCTTTTTTCATGGTGATTTAGATGAGGAGATTTACATGGAGCATCCTAAGAGTTTCGTAGATAAGCATGTTGATAAGCTTGAGTTTTGCAAAAAAAAAAAAAAAAAAAATTGGCAAGCATGAAACTTGGCAATAATTGTTGTACTTGAAGACATATTTGGCTGGTTGGTTGGAGGGGGAGTTTGTTGGACTATTGACCATTGTCTAGCCCAAGGTCCAATGGCCTAATTCTATTCTGTTTTAATTCTCACTACTATTTAAAATTAGATTTTTGTTTTTATTCCTATTTGTAGTTAGTTTTTGCTTTAAGAGAAAGCATCACTCATTATCTATATATAGATCAACTTTAGAGAAATTTTTTATGCTCTTTGTCTTTAGTCTTTGAAAGACTTTAGCACATAAGATAGATTTTCGGAAAAGCATCCATCGAGAGAGAAGTAAAAGTGTTCTTTTAGCTACAGATTTTTACTCTTACCAGCCAGCTTTAAATTATATTTTTCAATTTATTTTTATACTACAAATAAAGCAAGAAAGTCAAAATTTTCAATTCCCAAAATTCATATACTAGTAGGAGTAGTTAATTTAATTACCTGATACCCCAACAGCAATGCCTTCAAAAATAGAGTGAAAACACAATGCAAGAATGAGAAGTATTGTGTCCCCAAGTGAAGTTGTCTTGAGAAAAGGATTTGCTTCCCTATGTCCCTCCTCAGTATTATTACCTGACCTTCCTTGTTCTACTTCAACTTTGGCCTCACTTGATTCATGACTCTTTGTCACAAACATGATAATGCAGTCACTAAACATGGTGAGAAGGTAGCCTGCCAAAAAAATGCAGTTTATTAGAATTACATAATGAAAAAAAATTCACATATTTTATCTAATTGCAAGTCTCTCATTCTTGTAATCAATACAGACTTATAGCTTGTTTCTTGACCAAAAGTGCTTTTTTTCAAAGTTAAGGTGTTTGGCCAAGCTTTTTGAAAAAAAAAATGCTTTTGAGTAGAAGCAGAAGCAGTTCCTGAGAAGCAGAAAAAAATAGTTTCTCCCCAAAAAATCCTTTTGAGAAAAATACACTTAGAAACACTTTTTAAAAGCTTGGTCAAACACTAATTGTTGCTCAAAAGTGCTTTTCAAATTGATTAGCCAAACACAAACTGATTTTAACCAAAGTACTTTTTTTTAAAAGCACTTTTGAGAAAAGCACTTCTTAAAATAAGCAGATTTTAGAAGCTTGGCCAAAACATGCATTAGGTAAAGATCGATTATGATGGAAGAATAAGATCCATATATGTGATTCGACTAATTAAGAATATATTTTAGTCTTAGAGAACTTCTAATGTTATTCTCATTATCATTATTATGACTATTATTTATATATATTTATTTAACGTATTTTTCACTTTTATTTTATTTGGTATGCCGACAATTGAAATTAAGCTTAAATGAAGAAGTGACATATAGTCGTCCCCAACTTGTTATTGCTGTATAATATCTATTTTTAGTAGCCAAAAAAAAAGTAAAAGAAGGCAACCTGCAGAAGCCAACATGAAGGAAAAGGGGTACTCTTTCTCAGTAAGTACAGCAAAAGTTGCAGCAGAATCACTCAAGAAATGCATCAAAGAAGTCCCTAAAAAAACACCACCAGCAAATTGAGTCCCTAACAATAGAAAACTCTCGTTCCATCGATAAAAATATGGCGAAACTCCACCAGCAAATGTGCTCACGAACATTATGATCAAGCAATAAACTTTAACAAGAATCAATCCCTTTGCGCGCAAATTAGTATTCTCGTTATCTGAATCATGATCAACACCACCATGACCATTGATAGTGAAAAATTGTAAGAACAAGAATAGAGCTAGGGTTAAAAGAGTAGTTGACTTGTTGATTAAAGCCATGATCATTTTCTTGTTATTGTGTTGTGCTATGAAGTTAGTTATGTTAGTTAAACTTCTATAAGAAGAAGGTATAATTAAACTGAAAATTTTGATGATAGTATTTTTGCAGTACAAATTTGACTTTGGATGAGATTGTAGTACAAAAATGTTTGTACAAAACTGCAGATTGGCCTGGCCGGCTTCTTAGGAGTTGACCACTTCATGGATATTGTAAATTATATTGAGTAACATAGGGCGGTGCATAATTTGGTAAATACCGAATTATCGTACCGAAATCGAAGATTTTGGTATTCAGTATTCGATATTTTGGTATTCGGTATGGTATTTGGTTTAAGTTTTTAAAAAAAATTAGTATTAGGTATGGTATTTGGTATTTTAAAATGAAATACCGAAATATCGATACTGTACCGAAATACATATTATATTACACAATACACATTTTATTAATTATGACTTAAATATAAGAAATCTAAAACTTTACTTTCCTGTATTCTCTATGTTCATCAATTAACTCTAAGTAAGCAACAAGATATTTCTCTAAGTTTTCTCTCTCTAGGTTGGTATTTACTGGTTTTAGACAAAACTTTTGTCAACAAACGTTTTTAGTTTTGTACTTTTGAGTACTTTAATTAAGAATATTACCGTCTATGACTCTATCTCTAGTTAGTATTCACACCGAATAAATCGAAGTTACCGAACTGAATAAACCGAAACCGAAAGGAGAAAAATCGAACCATACCGAATTTAATTAGGTACGATATTGATATAGCATTTTACGAAACCGAATACCGATAATACCGAACTTAAATATCTAAATACCGTACCGTACCGTACCGACCGATGAACACCCTAGAGTAACATCTACCCAGAAACTAAATAATATAGCAGTGCCAATGTGGTGAACATAAACTTCTATGATGTTTAACATATTAGTGAAAGGGACACGGGCGGGCGGACCCTAAAGCAAGTGACACCTTGTTTGGATGGTTGTTACACATCGTTCATAATGTATCGTATCGTATCGTATTGTATTGTATTGTACTGTATCGTTTGATGAATACAATGTTTGGATAGATCGTATCGTTTGTTGTTGATTCATGATATCACACACCAGCAATATGAAAAATAAACTGACAATATTATAATAAAAAATTATGATACGTGGTAAATTTATTATATAAAAAGGTAGGGCAAATAATAAAATCAAATTATTTAACAATAATGAAGGGTGAGATGAGAGAAAAAGATAAGATAACGACGCAATCACACCAAATTGGTCGTTAAATAAAGTGGCACATTTCGTCGTTACGTAACGATGGACTTAACGATACGGCACAATAAAATTTAAGTAACAATCAAAACAAATATCGAATTTAAAGTAACAATACGATACAATACAATATGTAACAACCATCCAAACAAGCTGTGAAGCACTTACTTTAGGCCCTATTTCTCTATATATTGCAGTATTTTATTTATATAATTATTTTTTATTGTTGATAAATTTATTTCTTTATTGTCATATATTAATTTTTAATAACTCAATTTCTTCCACTAATTAATATAACCAAAATAGTTTTCTGTCAATCGTATTTTACGTTTTTACTGAATTATATTTCTTTATTCATTAATTAGTCACATAACTATATCTAATAATCTAACTTATGATTTATTTATTTTACATAAATTATACTCTCTCCGACCCAATTTGTATGAAAGTGTTTGACTAGATATGGAGTTTATGAAATAAAGGAAGACTTTTGAAACTTGTAATTTAAAACAAATAATAGAAATTTGTGGGCTAGAAATCATCTCATTAAGGGTAATGTCACGACCCTAAAACCGACCCGGTCGTGATGGCGCCTATCGTGAAACTAGGTCAGCCGACACAATTCCCAAAACAAATCATTATTTTATAAGAGTCATTTTTAAGCCATTAATTAACAAGGAATCTCATAATGTAAGTCTAAGTAACCAGTGCGAAATAAATACACAAGCCCGACATCGGGGTGTCACAAGTCACGAGCATCTACTAAGGTCTGAATACAACAAAGAGTCTAAAAATATATACTAAAAACACTCTAAGAAAGATAAGAGGGAGAAGAGCAGGGCTGCGAACGTCGGGCAGCTGCCTTGCTAACTCCGATGAGCCTGCCACTGAGTAATCAACACCCGCTACCGGGTTCAGAAATACCTGAATCTGCACACAATATGCAGGGAGTAATGTGAGTACGCCAACTCAGTAAGTAATAAGGGTAAATAAAGACTAAGCAGTAAGAAAACACATAATTCACGTCATAACACCACAGTAAGTACAGGATATTTTCCAAACAGGATAAAAATCAAGTCATCTCGTTAAAATCAAATCTCACTAAAAATCCTTTGAAATTGTCTTTCAACAACCTTTCAAAACGAAGTGATAAAATAGTGAGTAAAAGTAGTGAAAACATGATCCGCCTCTCGGGCAAAACTCACTCGTATACAGCCCCTCGGGCAACATAAATCACAAACGGCCCCTCGGGCAAAACATGTATCATCAACCGCCCCTCGGGCTTAATATCAACAGAACCAGCCCCTCGGGATACCTCACAATCACTCGTAATCGGCCACTCGGGAAACAACATAACTCAAGATCAGCCCCCGGGCAACATCACATCACTCACACCAGGTACCTGCGCTCACTGGGGTATTCAGACTCCGGAGGGGCTCCTACAGCCCAATAGCTATAACAAGCCATCTCGTGGCGTAAATCAGTCAGGCCCTCGGCCTCATAATAACAAGCCACCTCGTGGCATAAATCAATCAGGCCCTCGGCCTCACAATATCATGAATCGGTGACAACCTGTTGCGGCTTGCAGCCCGATTCCACAAGATCCTCACAACACAGACCTTCGGCCTCACTCAGTCAGAAACCTCACAAGCCACTCGGGCTAACAGCAAAACAGGGCGTTCAGCCCAAAATATCATTTATAGTATCAAAATTGAGTAAGGCTGCGTTATGAAATCAGTAAAATACAGCATGACTGGGTACAAATATTAAGTCAAAACAGTGAGGAATAGTAGTAAAAAGCCCCTAAGGGTTCAAACAGTTGGCACGAGGCCCAAAATATGGCATTCAGCCCAAAATATAGTAATATTGTCCAAAACACAATAGTATCAAATAGTTTTCAATCAATATGCGACTTAATAGTCGTACGGGACGGACCAAGTCACAATCCCCGACAGTGCACGCCCCCCATGCTAGTCATCTAGCGTATGCGTCACCTCAAAGTGGTGAAACGATACGAAATCCGGGGTTTCATACCCTCAGGACAATATTTACAATCATTATTTACCTCAAACCGGTCCAAACTCTATCCCGCGATGCCTTTGCCTCTCGAATCGGCCTCCAAATGCTCCAATCTAACCAAAATCAATATTATATCATTAATACACGCTAAAGAAACAAAGCCCAAGCAAAAATAATCAAATCAACTCAAAATACCGAAATTGGCCAAACCCGACCCCCGGGACCACGCCTCGAAATTCAATAAAAATAACATCACTAGAATTTCTATCCTCCGACGAGTCTATACATACCAAGAACATCAAAATCGGACCTCAAATGGCCCCTCAAATCACCACTCAAAGCTCTCCAAAACTCAAGCCCTAACCTTCAATCTTTTTAGCCCTCAAATCCCAAAAATTTCATGCCTAATCGGTTAGAAATCACCATAGAATCGAGTATTGAGTTCAAAAACATTACCTTCCAAATGTTACCCCTTGAATCCCTCTTCAATTCCTCTGAAAAAGCTCCAAATCCGAACACAAATGGTGGAAAAATGACCAAATTTTGCGAAGGCCTCTATTTATACTTTATGCCCCGCAAAACCGCACTTGCGGTACCAATGACGCACCTGCGGTCCGCACCTGCGGATAAATCTCGCTTCTGCGGATTCCACTTAAGAGAACCAACTTCCGCACCTACGCCCCAGGCCTCGCACCTGCGGGCTCGCAGGTGCGGTTAAATCATCCGCTCCTGCGGCTGCCTCCACACACCTGCGATCATCGCACATGCGGTCTAAATCCGCAGGTGCGGAAACAACAGAAGCAGCAATTTCTGCAACACAACTCCAAGTCCAAACTTTCCGACAACCACCCAAATCCATCCCGAGGCCCTCGGGGCCTCAACCAAACATGCCAAAAAGTGACGTAACACCATTCGAATTTTTTCCAACCTTCGGAAGACACAAAACAACATCAAAACACCCTCGGTTCAAGCCTAATAAACCCAAAACTTTCGAATTCCGCTATCGATCAAAAAGTCTATCAAACCTCATCCGAATGACCTGAAATTTTGCACACACGCACCAAATGACACAATAGACCTACTCCAACTTCCGAAATTCCATACGACCCCGATATCAAAATTTCCACTACCAACCGAAAAATGCCAAAACTCCAATTCCGCCAATTCAAGCCTAAATCTACCACGGACCTCCAGATCACCTTCCGGATGCGCTCCCAAGTCCAAATTCACCTAACGGAGCTAACCAAATCATAAAAATCTAAACCCGAGATTGAATACTAAAAAAGTCAAAACTTGGTCAAACCTTTCAAAATTCAAATTTGAAGCTTCAAGCTGAGAATTGTTCTTCCAAATCTGTTCCGATTATCCTGAAAACCAAAACTGACGATCTACATCAGTCATAATACACCCTACGGTACTAGTCCTGCCCGAGAACTGGCGAGCGAAGTGCAAATTCTCAAAACGACCATCGGGTCGTTACATCCTCCCCCACCTAAACATACGTTCGTCCTCGAACGTGCCCAGAGTTGTTCCAAAAGTCAACAAATCGTTGTATAACCTTACCATGCACATACCCGGGGGTGATACCATGTCACTCTATCCCATATAGGCCCGATAGCACAACATAACTGAAATTTCACAATCCAACCTAGCCCATTAACCTTGGAACCAAATTTCCACTTCCGAAATTATCTATAAGATCAGAATCTCACATCTATACCCTGAATAAGTCCGAACAGGTTGTACCAAACCTATATCCGTAGCCCAAGATGTAATCACATGATATACCACATAACTCAATCACTCGTAGCGATAACTTCT